GACAAAATAAGAATTAAAATTAATATTAAACACACAAGGACTGCAGAAATGGCTCAATGGCTAAGAACATTGGCTGCTCTTCAGAGGTCCAGAGTTCAATTCCCAGCAACCACATGGTGGTCCTCTTCTGGCCTGCAAGCGTACATGAAGATAATGAACTCATTTACATAAAACGCATAAATCTTTAAAAAAAGGGAACACCTTTTGCTGGTTGAGTAAGAATGTCCTCATAGACATAGATTTGAATGTTTGAAAGGATTAGGTGTGGTCTTATGGAGGGAGTGGGTCACTAGAGGTGGGCCTTCAGATTTCAAAAGCCCAGCGTGGCTTTCTTCCTGCTGCCTGTGGGTCCAAATGTAGAACTCTCAGCTACTTCTGTACCATGTCTGCCTGTATGCTACCTTGCTTCCCACCATGATAATAATGAACTAAACCTCTGAAACTGTAAGCAAGCCCCAATTAAATTATTTCCTTTATGAGAGTTGCTATGATCATGGTGGCTTTTCACAGCAACAGAACAATGACTAAGACACAACCAGAGGTATTTTTCCTAGGTGATTCCAAATTCCAAATGAAGATTAATCATTGCAGGAAGAAAACTTAGATTCCGTATCCTCCACCGAACTCAGTGCTGGTTTATAGGTGGTGCTGGTGAATTGGTGATAGTTTTTCCACCTTTGGTCTGGTAGCTAGAAGAGATTAAAGCTAGATACTTTCTGCCATTCCTTTTTAGGGTTTTGTTTTTTGAGACAGGGTTTCTCTATAGCTTTGAAGCCTGTCCTGGCACTTGCTCTGTAGCCCAGGCTGGCCTGGAACTCACAGATATCCGCCTGTCTCTGCCTCCCGAGTGCTGGGATCAAAGGCATGCATCACCATCACCCGGGCAAAAGGAGTGTTTTGTTTGAGACAGGGTCTCACTATATAGCCCTCCCTGGCACAAGACTGGTTATGTGGACCAGGCTAGTCTCAAATTCAGAGACCTGCCTGCCTCTGCCTCTTGAGTGTTGAGATTAAAGGCATGCACCACTGTGCCTGGCCACTTGTAGTTTTCTTGAAGGGCTACTTTTTAATTTTTATTATTATTATTTTTTTGAGACAGGGTTTCACTGTGTAGCCCTGGCTGTCCTGGAACTCTCTGTAGACCAGGCTGACCCCAAACTCAGAGATTCTCCTGCCTCTGCCCTCCAAGTGCTAGGGGCTACTTTTTAGTTAACTTTGTGAACAGGTATTATGTGTCACTCTGTCAACAAGGCATTGGCTGGTACTAGATCCATACTATCAAACACAGCCCCTTCATCACAATGTGTTGACATGTCTTTGAATTTCCTGTAAATGTGATAGCTGACAGAAAAGGAATACTCAGTGATGGTTATTATATTATTAAGTCCTTCTCATATACTGGACAATGTGTTGAGGCAGGTTCCATTATCATTCTTCAGTTTGGCAGGTTTCTCTATTGTGTTAATCACTGGTTTCTGCCATTGCAGAACTGTCTGAAGTTCTTTATAGTGCTGTTCTCACATCCCCAGTGGAGAGCCAATGACTAGCAATCTCCTAGGCCAGGCTGGGCAGTAGAACCATGCTTTAAGGATGGGCCTGTTTGGGTCAAGTGAGATAGCCTTTTGTCTGTCCATAGCTTAGTGTTGATGTCTGATGTTGCAGATGCCACCTAGGTGTCCCCTAGCAAAGCATCCTCTGGAACTCTCTTCCAGAGCTCCCACTGAGAGTCAGGAGGCTCTAGTCCAGCAGACCCTGGGACTGAAGTGTTAGGCAGGTAGGTAAGCTAGAAGAAGCAGAAAGCCACCATTTTGTTAAGATATCAACCTACAAATGGAAACCTAATTCTCAAGAACTTAACCAACAGTGGCATTTACTGGCCGGTGGTAAGGTGTGATCAGGACTTTGGCTCTACATCTCTTCAATGCTCTTAGCTCTGCCCTGGCTGTAGGTTGAAGTCCTAGCTTTAAAAAAAAAGGGCTAACTTTAAAAAAAAAAAAAAAAAAAAAAAAAAAAGTCAAGGTTGGTATAAACTTGGAGCCTTCAGTAAGTTCCATGAGCTGGGCTGAAGGAAATACAAATAGAAAACACAAGGCAGACACAGTAAAGTCTACAAGAAAAAAAAAATTCAGTGTTTCATGACTTTTGTTCCTGTTGAAACCCAAACTTATTCCTGGCATCACAGACATTTAGTCTGAAAAAGACTAATGTCAATCCAACCATCAGACCCACTGATAAACTCAATTTTCTGCATATCTGCCAAGTTGCTGGCCAACTGGTACTTCTGACAGAATTTTATTTATTTATTTATTTATTTTTGTGGGGGACAGGGTTTTTCTGTGTATCCTGGCAAGAAAATGTATTTTTCATTAAGATTTTCTATTCTGTATTTAGAATGAGCTCATAGATTCTCAGTACATTCTTGTGAGGACTATGTGTTTTCATTTGACACTTAAATAAACTGAAGTTTAGACAGGTGACTTAGCTAAGATCTTTAACCACTTAAAGGTGGTGAAGGCTGCAGATACAGCTCAGTGATGGAATTCTTGCCTAGCATGCCTAAGGCCCTGGGTTTAAATCCCCAGTACTGCAAAATAAATAAATATAGTGGGGCAGGAGCTTGAACTGGGCTTTCTGTTGCTAACTGCTTTGCTTTATTACTCCATATTAATCTGGTGTTTGTTGTTATTAAAGGTTTTAGGTCTGAATTTTATATTATTTTTCATGCAAGTACCAGAAAAGCAGCTATTCAATCATGAGTGAAATACAGGTGAAGCATTTCATAACTGTAAGGCACTGGACAAATGTTTATTTGAAGGCCAGTAGTATTGGCATTTTTTTCTTTCAAATTAGGGAGGACTGGACTGTTAAATGAAACGAAGACAATATCTTTTTATCCTTTACAATAATTCTTATTGTGATGATGGCCGAGTTAGGAGCCTCTCTAAAAAGAGATGGGACTAGAAGGAATCCTTGGGATTAATTCTGTCGGGGAACATTGAAGTTGAGCATCAGACCTCTGACTCAGCTCAGGGCATTAAGGACCTTTGCAGTTAATGGAGTTGCTCACTCCCATCACTGTTCCATTGGTCTCAAATTCAACAAGGACTCACTGAGCACTGGTTATGATCAGGGGTCCTTCTCTCCTGTTCTTAATAAGAACCACTGAGATCAGAGTTTGATGCTCTTGGTCCTCTTAAAAGTTAGTGGTAGTTCATGTTCATCAATACACTACATTCCTTGTGCCTTTTATTTTTTTTAAAGATTTATTTATTTATTATGTATACAACATTCTGCTTCCATGTATATCTACACATCAGAAGAGGGCACCAGATCTCACAAGGGATGGTTGTGAGCCACCATGTGGTTGCTGGGAATTGAACTCAGGACCTCTGGAAGAGCAGTCGGTGCTCCCAACCTCTGAGTCATCTCCCCAGTCCTCCTTGTGCCTTTTAAAAGAATCAAATATTCAAGAATAAAATGTTAACTGAGGGGCCTGGATGGCTGAGTGGTTAAGAGCACTTGCTGCTCTTCCAAAGGATACTGACTGCTCTCCTAAAGGATCTATGTTGGGTGGCCTACAGCTGTTTCTTTGCTCTCTGTGGGCATGGGCATGCATGCACGTGCGCGCACACAGACAGACAGACAGGACACACACAACTAAAAGCCAATCTTATTCTTTATATCTTGATATTCAATGATAAACTACCTTATTACACCTAACCTCCACTGATGCCAAGAATGAAACTTTTACTCCTACTTCATTTTTTTTCACCTACATAACTTTTTGATCTGTGCTGTCCTTTAAGGAAGCCATTAGTTGCCAATGACTATTGGGCACTTAAAATGTATATGCTGTTAAATACACTTAAGATTTCAAAAATGTATGCAAAGTATTGAGAACTGAAATTTAATACTTTGGATATAGCAGTGTAAATAAAAACATCGAAACTTCACCTGTTTCTTTTTAAAATGGCTTCTAGATTTAATAGTTTGTACTTTATTTTTGTGCTTTAGTTTTTTGAGATCGTGCCTTCCTATCAAATGTATGGCCTCATAATGACAGGAATCCTCCTGCCTCAGCCTTCCCTAGTGCCAGGTCTACAGATATGACCCACAAGCCCAGCTCTGTATTTCTAATGAAGGTGCTCCTGTGGATCATCACTCACCTTCCAACCCACCTTTGTACTTTGTTGCATGCTCAAACAACTGAAATTTCTGGATGGGGAGAATACACCTGAGGCAGGTCCACACTTTGTGGTTATCAAACTGAAATGCCTATCACTAGTCAGTAGGCAAAGGATTCAGACTTTGTGTCACAGGCAGGATTATTACTAATGTGTGGCACATACCACATACCATCAGACAGTGTCTTCTTGGTACTCACACCTAAAAGAAAAGCCTTTGACATCCCATCCTTATCCCCTCTATATTTTTTCTTTTACTTCTAGTCACTAAAATGTTAGCTCTTCCTGAGAAATTCTGTTACTTTCCCTCCACTTAGTCCATAACTAATCAGTCTTATTCACTTAACTTTTGAAGTAGTTTCTACATAATTTCCCAGTTTTTTTGTTCTGTGCTCCTTCTATACCATATACTACAACTAGAGTAACACCTAATCATCACACAGTCCTTCTGCTTAAAAACAAAATATCCTCCATTTATTTCCACATTGCCTCTGGGAACAATTCTTTAGAATGAAAGGCTTCCCCCCGCCTACTTACTTTAGACGTGGTAGTTCAGGCTGTTCCCAAACTTTAGCCATCTCCCTCAACTTCCCAAAAGCTGAGGGTGTCAGGTGTTGAGTCACCACATCCAGTTTTCAAGGCTTTTCAGACCTTTTTCTTGGTGTTTCCCCTATAAAGTCTGAACTAGAATGGGTTAATATATGTAAAGTACTTAGAATCCTGTCTGGCTTATGCTTACAACAGTATGCATTAGCTAATATTATTAAATTTGAACAGTATGCATTAGCTAATATTATTAAATTTGAACACACTGTATGTTAAACATTGCTATTTATTTTCCTTTTTGAACACCTCATTCTCCAAAGAGAGGAGTGCTTTAAACTATCAACAGCTAGTAAGGCAATTGTCATTTCATTGCTTTCCTAGCAATGTAAACATCTTCCTTCAATTGAAAGGACCTGTAAACACAAGTCTAATTTAACACACACACACACACACACACACCAAAAAAAAAAAAAAAAAAAAAGTCAAATTTCAGACTCAATGGGGTAGGGGTAGAAAGAAAAGGTAGTATTTCCTTCACTCAAAAACTAGCTCAGTTGTGGTAGCTGTACCTCGCATTCCCACAGTCCTGAATAGAGTGCCTAGCACCACTGCTGGGCAGGGAGTACAGTATATTTATAGAACTTTAGAGAAAAATAAATCCTGAAAAAAATATATGAATAGGTTTGGACTTAGGGCTCTGCAACTTGAGCATATATTAGAATAACCTGGGAACATTCAGGAATACTGTCATGTGGACCCCATTTAGATTTATGGAATCTAAGGCTAGGATTCAGCACGACAGCTTCATTCATAGGTGATTTGACAGTTCAGGCACAATCAAAAGTTTCACAGGTGATACTGACCTACACTTGACAACCATTGGTCTTGTTAAAAGAAGTGTTGGCTTAAGGAGGTTGGGCATTTGTGTCATGTTTGTCTCAGTGATTTCATCTCATGAAGTATGTTTTTGAAACAGAGTACTCATTCACTGCTTTACAAAAAAATATATGTGTTTATGAATAGCCTTTTAAAAACAACCTCCCAAAAGCCCCAATCCCTGGAGTTTAAGGCGTGAAAATATACATGTACATCGAAGTCATATAAACTTGTCTTTTTGGTCAGGCTTCTGGATTTATAAGTTTCAAAAGAGTGACTTATCTAAATATATATTTAGCTATGTAAAATATTTACAATTTAAGATTTTACAACTGAAAATCAACTGTAAACACGAAAAAGTTGGCAAATTTGCGGTTATAATTTCAAAAATATCAAAAACAGTTTTACCTCAAACATTTTCTAATAAATAGCACCGAAGTACCTTCCCCGAAGTATTACTTCTCAGTGGCTTATTTTATCTCAACAACTCAGGGTACCCAAGGACACAACACTTTTTACGGGGCAGCAGAGACTGATTGAAAGCTTGGATCTTCAAAACCTTACAGCAAAGCCCCTTTCCCCCGCCAATCCTGCGACAGTAAATCCTGCAATTCTCCCTCATCATCACTGTCCACATTCTCTTCTTCCTTTTTCTGTAATTCTTTTATGGTCAGAACCTCTTTAAGTTTGTTTTTTATTTCATCCTGGCGATTCCGCAGCTTTTCCACCCGACGGTAACACTCTATCTGCTCATCAATCTCTCCAATCTGCCGGTCCAATCGTCCCTCCTCATCCTCTTCAGCAACTATAGCTTCGGAAATAGTGTTGACTTGCCTCATGGCCTTTTGAAACTCGTCCCACTCTTTGTCCATCTGATCTTTTGGGGCGTCAACCTTCCGGACCTTTGCGTCTACCTCAGGGTCGTCGAAGAACCCTTCTGGTAATGCTTCGGCGGTGTTCTCCCTCCTTTCCACCACTTTTTCGTGTATTTCTGCTTTCTCAATTGACCCTGAATGAGGAACTAAGGGGGCCTTGGGAGGATTTGTATTAAAGGGATCATTTGGCAGCACATTGCTAGTGGTCTCTCTCGAAGAGGCAAGCGAGTGTTCGTTGTCTTTGCCCTGTGCATCTGGAAGATGCTTGCTGCTGTCCCTTCTCCCGTCTCCACCTCCCTCTTCTTCCTCCTCCTCTTCCTCATCTTCATAATCAGGGAGTAAACCGAGTCCAGGTTTACTGGAGGTTGCCTTAGCTGCCTCCTTTCCCGATTTCTCAAAGTTGGCAGACGAGGTGGAGGGCTGTACCTGAGGTCCCACGGAGGCCTTGGCTTTCTTGGCGTCTTGGTTCTCCACATCCGTGGCTCTCCTCTTGATGGGCTGAGGCGCTGCGCCGGCCGAAGGGCCCTGGGTTGCTCCCTTGGTGCCTTTCAGCTCGGCTACTCTTTCCCGGTGCTGCTTTCCCAGAACATGGGTCTGCCACAGGAGCTCGCTCTTGACCGGAGTGTTACAAAGTGCGCAGCTCAGCTGCCCCAGACGGTTGTACTTGGCGAACGGGGATTCTATCCTCTTCCGGTTGGTGCTCAGGCGCTGCTTCTCCCTCATCAACCGCCTCAGTTCTTCCTGATTCACCACCCGCTTCCCCGCCGGAGTCCCAGCAGAAGCGGAGGATGCCATCTTTGCGCCAGGGGTTCAGGCGATTCTGGCTTCCGTCCGGGCGAGGCGTGATAGCGTCACTTCCTGTCACGGGGCCGTTGGGCCGATTGGCCGAAGCTTAGGACTGTGGGTGTGGCGCCAGAGTTCTGAGTCCCGGGGTTGCGGGGCTGAACCGTTGAACCATGGCTGCGATCAAAGTCGCCAATCCTGCGGCTGAGGTGACGCGCAGCCAGGCGGCCTTGGCTGTGAACATATGCGCCGCCCGAGGGCTGCAGGATGTGCTGCGGCCCAGCTTGGGTCCTAAGGGCGCGCTAAAAATGTGAGAGGCCGCTAGGGTGTGTGGGCTGTCGCGGCGCCCTCTGAGGCTGGTGATGTTCAGTGAAGACCTGCGAGCAGAGCTGCAGCACTTAGACTCCGGTTTTCCTCCCTCTCGCATTCCGCTCCCAGAAAGCCTGTTTGCCGAGGAGAAAAGGCCCCACCAGTAGAAGTTGTGACACCCCCTTTTCACTAGGGTTCATAAACAGCCTATTCATACCGTGGGTCACTTGGAAACGTTATGTCTTGAACGCTTCTGGAGCTCCCTCCACCCCTCTCCTGTTGGGGATGAACTTAACCTTGTGCGCGCGCTCCGCGGACGTTGCACTTGCAGCCCCACTTTAGGATTGTTTTGACTTAGCAGTATGTTGTACTGGTTTTGGAGCTAGGCATGCATAGGTTCAAATTCAAGTTCCATCTTCTTCCATCTGTTAGTACTTAGTCACATTATTGCCACTCTCTGACTCTAGAGTTCTTTATATTTATTCATCCACTTGGACATACGTTTATTTAGCACCATTGTTTGTTTTACACAGTAAGAAAAGAGTAGGGAGAACAAAAAGTGACACCCGGAGAGGAATGAACAAACTAACATTAATAGTAAACGAGGCCACTTAACAGTAGATGCTAGGAAAACAGATGAGATAGTTTCTTTTCTTTAAAAGCTTGATTTAATTTGTGTATGCACCTGTGTTTATCTGCATCAGGTGTATGCAGAGGCCAACATAGGTCAGAGGGTGTCAGATCCCCCGAACTTGAGTTATAGGCAGCTTGGAGCCATCTGATATTGGTGTTGGAAACTTATACAAGAACAATAAGGGCTTTTAACTGCCAAGCCATCTCTCCAGCCCTTGAGATAGCATCTGTTCTTAAGGTGACATGGTAGTGACAGATGTGTCAGTTGTATATAGATGCAAACGACTTTTACAGAGGAAAGGGTCCAATAACCGGTGGCTGAAGGAAAAGCCTCTTACATAACAGGTGCTGTTTGGTCAGAGTTGTAGAAGAATGAGTTGAGCAGTTGGTGAGGGGAATAAAGGCCACCCAGTGGTGTAAATCCATCAGAAACAAACATTATAATGCATTAAGGGGGGACTGAAAGACCTTCTGTGGGAATGATGGTGGATGGAACAGAAGAGTTGGGGAAAGGCTAAGTATGTTACTGTTAAATTATTTTGACTTTTACCTTGAAGATGGTGATGAACATAAAATCATTGAAGGATTATTGATCAGGAAACTGAGTCACATTGCCTTTTAGAAAAATATAGTGCAAAGGGTTGATTAAAATTTGGTGATAAGATGGCTGTCTAAACAGTCTAAAAATGATAAAATTGGAGAGAAGAGGAAAAGATTCAATGGTATTTTGAATTGTGGAATTGACAGAATTTGGTCCATTTAATAAATGCAAGAGATGAGGCAACTAAATTCAGTGACTGAATTATGACACCAAAATAAAAGCCTACAGGAAATTTGCAGATTTGTGCTTTGTTTTATACTTTTTATTAGCCAATGTTTATAACCCATCAGCTACTCTCTAAGTTCATAAATGCTCCATTTGTAATGAAATCACTATAAGGTCATCTGGGAGAAATAATTCTATGAGATGAAAGTGGCATTCATTACTACAGTATCACCCTATTCAATGTAGAGTTTCCAAGCCCAATCATTTGTGTGTAGAACAGTGGACAGCAAGAATTGACAGTGTTTTTTGTTTTTTTTTTTTGACTCTCGACTTATGGAGTAATAAGTACCATTGTTCTTTGAACAGGCTTGTTTCTGGGGCAGGTGACATCAAACTCACAAAAGACGGCAATGTTCTGCTTCATGAGATGGTGAGCTAATGCTCCTCTTCATTTTCTTTTCTGAGACAGGATCTGCCTGTGTAACCCTGGCTGGCCACATACTCCTGCCTCAGCCCCTGGGTGTTGGATTCTGACATTTGATATAATGCCCAGCTGCTGCTGATTTTAATAAACCTTGTAAACCTCAATAAAAAACATGGCACATCAGTTGGGAATGCAGGTCAGTGGTAGGGCACTCCCCTAGCACATGCAAGATTCTAGGTTCAACACTGGGGGGGGGTGATAAGGTATGCTTTGTATTATCATGTACAAGCTTATCTAAAGGTATTTTTTTGTGGGCTGGAGAGATGGCTCAGTAGTTAAGAGCACTGGCTGTTCTTCAATAGGACTCAGCTTCAATTCTCAGAACCCACATGGCAGCTCACAACTGTACCTCCAGTTTTAGGGATCCAACATTCTCATACAAGCATACGTTCAGGTAAAACACAAATGCACATAAAATGAAAGAAAAAAATATCTTAGCCACGATTGGTGGTGTGCACCTTTAATTCCAGCACTCAGGAGGCAGAGGTAGGTGGATCTCTGAGTTTAAGGCCAGCCTGGTCTATAGAGTGAATTCCAGGACCGCCAGGGACACACAGAGAAACCTTGTTTTGAAAAAAATTTTTAAGTATTTTTTTCAGTGATAGAGATTGAGCATTGGACCCTCATATGCTAGGTGAGTGCTCTTTACAACTAAGGGATAGCTTCAACCTTACAATTTGTATTTTTAAAGATTTATTGATTTGTTAACTTTTATGTGTATGAGTGTCTATCTGTATGAGTGTGTGCCACATGTATGCTGGTGCCTGCAGAGGCTATAAAAGGGTGTCAGACACCCTGGAGCTGGACTTAAGACAATTGTACGACACCTGCTATGGGTGGCGAGTGCCAAACTCCACTTCTCTGGAAGAATAGAATATGCTTTTAGTGGCTGAGGTAACCCTCTAACCACACAATGCTTTGTTGTTGTTGTTGTTGTTGTTGTTTGAGATAGGATTTTTCTGGGTAGCCTTGGCTAGTCTGGAGCTCAATTTGTAGATCAGGCTGGCTTTAAACTCCCAGAGATCCATCTGGCTCTGTTTCCCGAGTTCTGGGATTAAAGGTTTGCACCACTACTGTCTAGCACCACAATTTGTATTTTATAAGATAAGGCTACTAGCTAAAAACTACACTCTTGAGATAGGGTTGTTGGATTAAATATCAACAAAATGAATTTTGGCTATTTTCAAATGTTTATAGATTCTAATATTTTAGGGACACTTACAAATTAATAATATCTTTTTTGGAGCACTTCATTATAGTCTTTGTAATCATGGAAAAAGAAAAAGTCCTTTGCCATTTTCATAAATGTATTTATCTTTGAGATTGAGGGCTTAATCTTTTCTTGGAAATGTCATTGCATTTTGAGGCAAAGACTTGCATGAAATGTTCAAACCTCATTAATTTTCAACTTTAAAATTTTGGATTTGACATTTACTAAATATTGATAATGTAAAACTTGTAAATTTGCAGAATGAAGTTTGTTTCTTAATTTTACTATTGACCCTTGAGTTATCTTGGGTTTAGTGGCCTTCTTTATCACACTCCATGTCTTTTTAAATCTGGTGTTTACCTTTTCCAGCAAATTCAGCACCCAACAGCTTCCATCATAGCGAAAGTGGCGGCAGCACAGGACCACATCACAGGAGATGGCACCACCTCAAATGTCCTGATCATTGGGGAATTGCTCAAGCAAGCTGATCTTTACATTTCTGAGGTATTACAATTTCACACTATCTCAAAGAAAGTTTTGTTTTTAAGTTTAATTTTATAGAATAAGAACTAATTGCAGCTGGGTGGTAGTGGTGCATGCTTTTAATCCCAGCACCTGGGGATACAGAGGCAGGCGATTTCTGTGAGTTCAAGGCCAGCTTGGTCTAAAGAGGGAGTTCCAGGACAGGCTCCAAAGCTACAGAGAAACTCTGTCTCAAACAAACAAACAAACAAACAAACAAACAAAAAATAAAAACAAAAAACAAACTAATTGCAATTAAGATAATCTTAAGCAGTTGTAAGTGGTAACTGATTTTTATTTTGTGCCAAAGTAATGGCTTTTATTGCATATTAAAACCATTTAATATAAAACACTAAAAGATGTATAGAAAGATTAAAAAAAAGGAAAACCTGGGGCTGGAGAGATGGCTTAGCGGTTAAGAACACTGACTGTTCTTCCAGAGGTCCTGAGTTCAATTCCTGGCAACCACATGGTGGCTCAACAACCACCTTGAATGAGATCTGGTGCCCTCTGCTGGCATGCAGGCAGAAGACTGTATACATAATAAATAAATAAAATTATTTATTATGTATACAGAAGGCTGTATACATAATAAATAAATAAAATCTTTAAAAAAGGAAAGAAAAATACAAAATTTAAAAAGGAAAACCTCCATGTATCCATGAATCATGTTTTCAAAAGAAAATGTAACTAATAAACATTGAAACAAAATTATGTTCCTTTAAAATTAACTGGGGCAAAAATTACTGAAGGCTTTTCACCTTGTGACTGTGTTTACTTTTCTAGTCCCTCTATCCTTTATAAACCATCTAGCTAGACTCATCTATTCATTAGCCTATGAAGTCATCATTTATATTTCTATGTCTGTGCCTTTGTTCAATTGTATTCTTTTCTCAACATTGCATATATCCTTTCTGTAAGTATTTGAGTATTCCCTCCTATTCAGAGACTATCTTGGCAAAGCATAACCTGGTCAAAGAGGAGATTCTGGGTTCTTTGTGTTCCATTTAGTGTTGGGAATTATCCGTTCACTGTCTGTAACTTATCTCAGTTAGAATGATTTGGGCTTAAACAGTGGAAACTTGACTAATACCCTCTTAACTATGCAGAAATCATCATCTCACAC